AGTGGAATCATGTATTCAACGGTTTGATTCCATACAGGATCGCATGTATTTGGAACGAATTTGGTGCGTCTTTTATTTGAAACTCTGAAAAGTTGAACACTTCATCAAGCATTCTTTGAGGAGCAAAATGTAGCATTGGTTTCTATCATTTTAGCGAATTTAGAAGTTTAAAAGTTGATCAACAGTAGCGAGGAGTTAACAAACGATATTTTGCTTCAATTCAGTTTGAATAGAAGACAAATCAACTCACTTTCTGCCCGGTAGAAGATAAATTTTAACGAAAGGATTTGGATAGAATGCCGTACTGCTGTACTGCCTGTATGAGAGGCCTCTTGCGGAAAGAACAGTAACGAAAAGTGTTGAGGAAAGACGATTGTACGATAGTGCAACGTTCAAATAGCCTAACGACTCGGGCTGAAATCAAATGAATTTGAACATGAAACTGAAATCGGTGGAAACTTTAAAAGAACCTTTTTCAGGCGCGGTACGGTTTCACGAAAGCGCACCGAAATGGTAATGTAAAATATGAAATCTGAGAAGAGCATCCAAGAATTGAATGAGCGTTTTTCGTTTTGAAGTAACTCCAAAAGAGAAACCTCAAATGTGCTGGTTCGGTTGTGACGTGATATCGTCGCCTTCAAAGGTACGCTGTCGAGTAAAGCATTTTTTGAGCTCTGGTAATCGAACGATGGTGATGCTCGTCCATCAACACATCGGTGCGCAGGAATCGGTGGTGCTTCCTTGTGATAGCTGCCTTTCAAATTCGACGATTCTTAAAATAAACAGTACACAGTGTGCATGCTAGTGTGGTGCAGGGCAAGCAAAGAATCGAGGACAATGAATGCTGGGGAACCAGAAGTTTGCGATCAGAGATGTCGAAAATGCAGTCGCCTCGAAAAATATTCATTCGAAAAGGAGAAGGTCACAAAGAAGAAATGTGGACTGGGTCACCGAAATTCTTCGTTCTTACTGGATTTTTGGTGACCGTTTCGATCAATTCAAAAAATGGCAACGTCAAAAATGACAGTTCAGAACAAGAACGCATTTTTTCAAATTTGAGGACGATATTTTTAAGCTGATTCAGCTGCAGTCAATAAGACGTATAGTTGAGTAGTTATGACGCTACCGTATTTCTTATCCTTTCTCGAGCAACACTTTCCGTCAACGTCATCACAGAAGTTCGTAGTTTTGGTTCGTTGATGCCTCGAAGAGCACGACTCTTGACCCGCATTACTGGAATGAATTTATTCATTGATAGGCATTGCTATTCCAGTTACAAATGTTTCATAATCACAACAGAGTACCTAATTGTATCAATAACTTACGGATGATCAATTCACAGATCCGAACAAAA